GCGGGTGTGGCCATTTACACATCTTTGAGGAGATTTTGGATTTTTCGCCGGGCTCCCTGGCCTGCGACAGAGCTCTTCAGTTTTGCGAATTTTCTCACGCTCCACACGCAACACGTAACTGACATGTATTGCTTCAGGGCAAGACTTCACAGTATAATCCACATGTCATCCCATTATATTTACATATTGTATAGGGATTATATTCTCTCATTCCCTACTAGCCGTTGTTGCCTGTGAGCTGGAGTGCCACAGGTGAGCGGTTCCAGTCTCCCACTAGGACCAGCAAGCCTACCTCATGAGCCAAGCACTTATTGGTTCTTAGTAGAGGATAACGGAATACGATCCCTATATAATCCCTCTATATTATATGAATATATAATATGGTGTATAAGTTTTGTATAGGGATCATGCTTATTCCCCAGTAAATTGAGATCAGCAGGCGGTCGCTGAACTGGGCAGCGGCGCAGGGCGCTGCTCGCTCTCGCTGCTTTGGAGAACTCCGGTGGCTTGCAGTAGCTCACAGAATACGGTTAATGGCTTAGGGTTTAGGGCTATTATGCAGTCTTGCTCCCATCACAGCAGGGCACAGCAAATCCCGGTTGGCAATTTGCTTGCTGCAGATTTGGGAGTTTGACAAGAGAATCTCAAGATAATCCCCAAGAGGGTCCACCATCTCATTTTCACTTGATTCATCTCCCGGTGTATTCCTAGGGTGCTAAAGCGCTGCCCTGCATTCAGGCCTCAGTTGTGGGAGTGGAATTGGCAGCTGCGCGGCACACAGTCGCACTTCTGGCCGTTGGTCAATGTTTGCGGAACTGGACGCGACTGGAGACAAAGGCCGATTCATGTTTTGACTTCGGGATTCTGCATGTGATCACGATATATTCCCACTGTCATGGTGCGACATGATGTTTGTTCGTTTTCATCATTCTCTTCAGCTAGGCCCAGCTCGGCTGTGCCAGGCTTAGAGGTTTGGGGACATGTCAATGTGGTAGTTTCCCAAAACAAGGGAACCCCAATATAGGCCCCAAAATATTATAGTCCTTATTAGAGGGACCCCAAAAAGGTACCCCTAATTTTGGGAAATCCCCATGTGTGTTGCCGCCAGGATGGGGCCGTGTGGGCCCATCACGGCCAGAGTCTGCGTCTGATCCACGGTGACATACTGGAGACCTGGCGCGACTGGTGCCACGTCACGGCAGTCTTTACAAGCTCTCTGTGCATCTTGCCTGGGAACTAACTGTTACAGTAGCCCCTACAAGTATTGCCTCCCGGAAGTAGATGTAATATGGAATTCCCCAAATATGATGCGATGCCATATACCCCATATTCTATGAACTCAAAGGGGAACGATACCCTCAACCCTGAACCCTAAAACCTAAACCCTAAAATCCTAAAATCTCAAACTCTACACACAATGAAGGAGGACTGTAGCCTAAAGTAGCTGTAAGTATTGTTGGCTAAACCCTAAACCCTACACCCTATGTAAGTATTGTCGGCTAGAACGGGTACGCAAGAGCCCGTCAGACTGAGGCTTCCCGGCCACCGTGATGAAAATGCTTTGCAGGACATCTTTGACCAGGGTTTAGGTTTCGGGTGCCAGGGTTGAGGGTTTATGTTTTAGGGTTCAGGTTTTATAGGGTGTTGGTGTTTAATGTTTAGGGTTTAAAGTTTTGAGTTTAGTGTTTATAGTCCCCCTTAAGTAGATAGAGCATGGCTTTGGGTACATTATAATAAGATCCCCATATACCATATACCCCATATTCTATCTACTTAAGGGGGACTATGGCGTTTTGGGTTGAGGTTTTAGTGTCTGAAGAGCTGAGCCGCGAATTGATGCCAGGCAGTTTGATGAATGCAGGCTTTTGCGACGGGTGGCCACCCTGCGACTTGACTCCAGCATTTGTAGCTGAGAGTTTGGAATCCTTTTTCGTGGTGTTAGTTGATACCAACTTGGGGGGTCCCCATTGTAAGGCTTACAATATTTTGGGGTCTATATTGGGGTCCCTGAATTTAGGGAACTCAATAACATTTTGCAACGCATCTTGCCTGAGGCAGATGCTGCCCGATACTGTCACCTTCGGCCTGGTAGATGTTCTGCGCTGCCCCATGTCCTGGAAGCCAGCCGGAAGCGCCGTCTACGTCTATGAGCCTTGATAAGTGGACCAAGGGACTCTCCTTGCATAATGATGTTCGCTTGGGCTAGCGGCTGGTAGCTTCACACTCTAAGGAACGTTTGCCAAACTATCCACTGCGCTTTGGTTGCACAGAGATCCGGATCCTCACAGGTCAGGAACACGCGCTGGGCCTGCGAGGTATCGGGTCCTGCTTGAGGAGCCTTTGGCAACCATGTCGCTTGTTGTGGAGCTGGAAGGAGACCGCCTGGTGCTGAGCTCCACCGCTTGTCACGATGCGCCAGTGGTCCCGTGATGCTCATTGTACCCAGGCCGGCTACATGCTGCAGAGAACGCCAGGGCAAGGGCGGCAAAGTTCGCCCAGCTGTTGCTGTTGTCCCTTCTGCCACTTTGCACAGCTTCAAAGTGCGAGCCAAGAAAAGGAGCAAGGATCTTGCCTGTTTGCAAGCGATGCACCTTGGAGCTCCTTAGGTCAGCCTATGGCCTGGGACCAGGCCCCTGCTCAGCGTATCTCCGCGTGTGCAATGATGTCTTCTAGATGTCTCGTCTAGAAAGGAACAGTTGGTACCCCTCCGCCCATGCCCACACCCGATGCCCACATGTCCACGTGCTGAGCTCATCACGCAGTTGCAGAAGTATGTTATTCCGGGGGACATAATCTTTTCTGGTACCCCCGACTAAACTGAAGTAGGCATTCCACAAATAGGTCTCATACAGATCCGTTGTCAAGCATAGTTGGATTGCATAGTAAAGGACAGGAATTCTGGAAATGGTGCCAGCAAAACACAGCACCCCGAAGGCAAAGCAACAAGACCGCCACCCAGAAAGAACACCAGCAAATTCAAAACACCAAAACCCCCATTCCCCTATTAAAACATTCCAATTACACCACAAGAAAATGAACAATTTTCTGGATATGCTAGTCTTGGGGCTCGAAGTATTCAGAAATGCAAATTATCTGTTTTCTTTTGGTGTGTGTGTGTGTGTGTTTCTTGTTTGGTATCTTTTGTTTTTGTACTAGTCTATCAGGTTTGTTATTTGCATTTTTTTTGTTTGTGTGTTTCTGGTATTGGTTCTCCGTCGTAATCGTAACCCAGATATCTGGCAGCCGGAAGCGTGAAGCCGGAGTGTCGGCAGCAATGTGGGACCTTTGGTTGTTTGCTCAAGTCGGTCTGAACCCTAAACCCTTTGTTCTGCGAGGCATCCGGAACCACTATGGGCCTTCCAAAGCCAATCCTCGTGGATGTATTGCTGAGAATTTGAGATTTTCTGAGTCGACAATTTAGTTTGCATAGGGTAAATTTTGTAGGATTTGTCACTCTTACATAGCAGATTGGTTTTTCTTGACTCCCGAAGTCATCAAATATGTTTTTTCATATTTTGTTTTCATATGACATGAAAATACATTTTCATTCCTGCTCTGAATGCTTGTCGTCGTCGTCATCATCATCATCATCATCATCTGTTGTCACTGGTCTATGTGCCATGGTATTAGATGTTATAGAATACATCTGCCAGCTTTTCGTTATCACTTGTAATTCCGGATATTCATTACGAATATGTGGAACATGTGTTCGCAATTTTTCAGTTTCTTGTTCTTAGCTTCACAGAGTACCACCTAAAACGTATTCAAGAGGTCTGCTATTAAGGCCAATATCATAGCCAACATTTATACGCAAGCTGGTAACCGCATTGCATGATTACTGCCACCATTAAAACCGTATGTAGAATTCTACATAGGCCAGCAAGCGCATTGCATCTTTAATGTTGTTCACCACTTTAACATGCTTCGTTGAAACATTTTTTGCCAATACCACCTTTTAAATGGAATACTTTCAAGATGGTGTAGATGATTTTTCTTGTAATATTATTCTGATTATAAAGCAAATTATGTCAACCGTATTTTCAGATGCTTTATATCATGCTAAATGTAGTTTTTTTTCACATATTTCTTGTCCAAGAAAAGCAGTGCCATGAAAAGTTATTCCCCATACCAATGGTCTGTACTGCCGTTATCATCATGAAGACTACATATACCCTTTTTTCTCAACTTGCACAACTTCATTTGACTTCGAATAGCCTTCGGCCTCTGTAATCCCCGAAGGCCTACTGGTTTCCTTTTTTCAATGAGCATCAGCCAAACCTGACGCATTCCCTCTGGCGCTGGTTATAGGACAGTGCATGCATGTTTTCCACGCGCAGCGTGCATTCTTGCACGCGCATGTTGAATCTGAAAACACAGAAGGTACCAGTACATAAGTTTAGGAGTACATATTCTGTCTGCTATGTCCTGTATGCCATGGTCGTTTTGCCACTTGGGCTCAGGATTTGCGGGCAACGAGGGGGGTTTTGCGAACTGTTGTGCAAGCTGGGCGCTCAAAAGCTCTGGCGAGGTGGGTTCTCCTGCAGTCACTGAGCTGTGCGCAGCGTCCCTGCCCCAGTGCAGCAATTGCTATTTCTCACAATGCCGATGTAGTAAAGGGCGCGGGTTTCCCGACCACAGATCCAAGACTTGAAGAGTTCGAGGAAGCAGTTGTTACCCACCTAAGGCATGAAACAGACCAATGGATAGTTCAGCATGCGGGCGTCCCGTGATAAATGCAAGCCAAAACACTATAGGAGCGTTACACAAAGATGTGTCGGCTCAGGCATGGACGCAAAGCAAATAGGCACAAGAACAGCTACATAAACGTAGGTCTACTTATACTGTTGAGAGGCTAAGCTAAACACTTGCAAACTGGAGCCGGCTCAGCACAGTTGCGGAGATGGCCGGAGATGGCCCACGCACTTTGCCGCTGCATTTGTGGGTCCAGTCGGTTGAATGAGCATTTGGAGCGGGGCGAGTTTGCGGCCAATCCGCCCCAAATGCCGCAACCGGAGCAGGAAGAGACCAAAGTGATCTCCTACCCGCCGATCCATGGGCGATTATCTTACTCGCTCTTGGCTGACCAGCCCTTACGGGGGGCACCCATTCGAGAAGGCGACTTGTGGCACCTGTCCACCGAAGAACGCGTGGACCCAGTCCATGTCTCGTTGCACATCAATGGGTTCAGATTTCAGCTGGATGGCCAGGAAATGGCCATCTCGCTGTCTCCATTCACACTGGTGCGCAATTGCAAGTTCCAAAGCACGTATCCAATGCTGAACGTGGCCGACTTCAAAATTTTCAAGGTCTCCTTGTTTGCCCAAGGGGCTTGTTATTACTTTGGCGTACGTGGTGAGAATGAAAGGGAGGCAGAGGAACTACGCTCTCGCTGGGTCCTTGACATCTCGCGGGCGATGCGCCTGGTTACTCAGACGCTTTTCCCTCCCTTCAACATCTCCTGTCGTCCTTTGGATGCTGTTCCTTCAACCAACTCGCGCTTGATGGCTGGTTACCTTGTGCATTTCGATGATTGCTTCACGGCTTCTGTTCTCTACTGTGAACTGCATGTGCAGACACAGCAGGACCACACAAGAATTGTAATGTATGAGAACGAGAGCTGCCGGCAACAGCTGGCAGAGATCTACGTAACCGACCGGTCCATTTGCTGCGAGAAGATTGGCATCAATTGCAGCTGCTTTTCAGTGGAGGATCATCAGTTCTCCGCCAGAACCTTGAGCGAACGGAAGCTCTGGCTCCGGGCAATCTCGAATCTCAAAGTCAAGCTGCAAAACAGCGCGCCTGTCCCATCTCCGGCGGAGACATGGCACTACAGGGAAGCAGTTCAAGAACATGCCAAGAACCACATTGTGTTTGAGGGATATGCCAAGACAGATGCCTTGTTGCAGCGGACGTTCATCCGACCCCTTGGCGCACAAACCGACGCGTCGTATCATGCGACCTTGGGTGCGCTACCGCCACCTGCGCCGGAGGACATCAAGTATGGCGACAGGCCTTGCCAAGCATACTCCCCAGATGCAGAGCACGCTAGCGTTTTTGCCCTTCCCCTGCCGCAGCCAGAGGCAGAGTCAAGGGCATCCGATGCCCCTAGGAACAGCCCGGAAGCAGAAGCCCAGGCGCATCCACTGCGACGCTCCTCTTCGTTGCACCCCGTTTGAAGCTGGTAGTAGTTTCTTTTTGTACCATTTGGGCTAAAGGGTATTTGAATTCAATGCTGTGGATTGCCCACTTGAGGTCCGAGCCGTTGAGGAAGCTCTCCGATGTCTGGTTAAGGCCAACGCGGCCAAGGAGCAAATCCTTCCTGGTGCCTCGGCAAGTACCTAAGCCGGGTGATGGATGACCCGAAGCCTGGAGTGGCAAGGCTGGAAGTTAATGTAACAGATTCTGTAGTTGATCCTACATGCGTACGCTTGCGCACAGTCGCAGCCTGCGCCATTTGCTGGATTAGAATTCGACGTCTCACACAGGCTAGGTAATTATGGTGGCAGGACCATGGAAGCATTCTTTTGCACGTCGCCGCTTTGCTTGGTTCCTTGCCCTTCAAGATTGCGCCCTGGAAGCAAAACAAGGAGCCGAAATGCCGCGTCCAGCTTGTCATCGAATTTGTAGAAAGGGATGTAGGTATGACATAATTCAAATATATAGTCTCTCCCTGTCCCATTATAGATAACAGACTAAGGTTTCGTAATTTCCTTGACTGGCAAGGGAGAAAGTTTGTTCCTGTGTTGCCACGCCAGGCTGGAGCCCAGGCGGGAGTCGGTGTCATTTTCAGCAGAGGGTTTGGTCTGCGGGGTTACGTAAACGGGCCCAAGTATAGACCCCAATGTATTATGATCCTTGTTATCTGAAAGCTTGAAAAAAGGACGCTAATTTTCAGAAATCCTCCGGTTCGTTCTTGGAGTTAGCTCGTCCGTTGTTGCTGCAGATGGTTTGCTGTTGTCAACTGACTGACTTGCGCAAGATATCTGGTTTTCGGAACCATGGACCTCATATACCAGCGACCGCGTCCCGCCCGGCTTTTTCAGCTGTGTATCACACATTTGCAGTTGCACTTGTCGGTCATTAAATTTTTCGACACTTGAGGCCCTTTCAGACCCCCAAAGCCGGGCATGTCTGTCGGTGCATCGCGCTTGGCAAAGTGGGGGACTTGTAAAGTCTTTCCTTCACTGTGGCAAGTGCAGCAAGCGAGTGCCTAGGTGGCCTCAAAGGGAAAGGCTCGAACAGCCTTCCATGGTGCCTACCTCAATGGGGCTCATGCCAAGCAGGTCACGGGTTGCGCGTGCAGCTTGAGTTCATACTGCCAGTTTGGCTTTAGTGGCCGGCCCAGGCTTATCCTTGAGCCCTGCTGCCACGATGCCGGAGACGGTGCATGCCCTGTGATGCGTGCTTTGAACTTGCAGAGTCCTCTAGAGTTGAATGCTGTCAAGGCTCTGAAGCAGCGACCAGCAAACACGACGCCAGCGACTGAGCAGTACAAGCTGGTGCACGAAGCGTAAGATAACTTCCAAGCTTCGCATTCGCGTCGGTTCTTGCTGCTGGACAGGCCCAGTCCGTTTGTGGTTGCCAGCAACGGCCCCTCGAATGCAGCAGCAAATTTCTGTTGCCTTCGGCAGCTTTGTAGAGATTAAGCCAGGTGACGAGCCGCAAGAACAGCAGGGTGTCAAACGTGACGCATCAGAGATGGAGGTGGACCTTGCTTGATGCATATGAGGCTGTTCCCAGTGCAAGGCTTAAGCAGTACATCCTCTTATTGTTAGGAGGACGAAGGCCCTCCACCCGAACCAGACACCGTCTTTTTGGGTCCGTTGCCTATGACGGGAAGCTACTAGCATGGTGCCATATTGGTAGGACCCTCAGCTTGGCGATGATATGCTTCAATCTTGCCCAGGCCGACTGCCTCCAAACATTGAGGAAAAGCGCATCGAGGCATGCCATTGTGGCGGTTTTGGTTTTCTCCATCAGGACAACCCCGCAAGCGTTGCAGAGCCAATTTCTGCCAGCATGAACCGAGGGAAATTCAGAAAGCAAGAGCGGGGTATTGCAGAAGCAAGCGGGACTTAGCATGCTGACAAGCCAGGCTGCCTTGAAGCACGTGGGCAAGATCGAGCGTATCCACCTTGTGAGGGAAGCAGGCTTGGACCCCAGTGACCCAGTGTGTGGAGCAGTGTCCATCTCCAGCTTGCCATGGTCTTCCAGGAGAGGGCAGTGCCTGCAAGGGCTTTGGCGCATTCCTTAAAAGGGCAGTCTTGCTAATATGTTGCTGACAGACAGTGCAGACATCATTCGCGCAGATGTGTTCTTTGCACTGCCCATGCAGGTTTCGTGACCTTCTCAACGCCAGAGGAGGCTGAGGTGCGTTTTTGCAAGTTTTGCCCGACTGCCGGAGAGACCAATCAGCTTCATTGTTTGATCATGCAGGCTGCGTGCGACTTGAGCGAGTTGCTCGAGTGCGGCGGTCGGAAAATTACCATCAACATAAGACGCATCGGCCTGTTGAAGCACTGGTGTCATGAGAGCCTTGCTGATGCATTCTTTGTTGATGCGGCTTTGGCCAGGTCGGCCGAAATCGAAGCCTGATGGTCCCAGGATCCCGCGATGGCACAGCATGTGCATTCATGGATGTCGCCATGTGGGTCCAGCCTGCGGATTGCAAAGCTGCAAGTGCAGGAAGAAGAAAAGAGAAATCCAGATTGTTGCATCCTCAAGCAGCTCCTTTGTGTCACCTGAGACTTTCTGCACTGATAACGCTTGCCTTGCCATGCTGACACTGTATGGTGTTGAATGGCCTTCGCTGAGCCAAGGTCGTGGAGCCTCATGCCGACTGTGGGGCTGGCTGATTTGCCCCCCCCGTAATCCTTGATTCTGTGCACCAGATCTGCTGTGAGTTCGTGCCAGGCTGGTTCTGCCTTGTAAACCCAAAGGCGGGAAGAGTTATGCACATGACAAGCTGCACTCCAAATTGGCGAGGTAGAGAAGCACATGATAGTCTCGGCCAGCACAGAAGTGTACATCGCCACCGCGTCCGGCCCTAACACAGAAAAGACCGGTGTCTCGTCTTCAGCCTCGTGCCCTTGCAGGAGAGGGCCAGTGAACCCATATCACGTGCAGGCACGTCAATGCAGTGTATCATCTACACCCCAAATTGAGGCTTTTCTGATAGATCTTCTAAGCTTCTGCCAGGTATTGCCTGTGAAGCATGCGTGCTCCTCTCAGCAGTTCTGGATTCCAAGACTGCTCAAGGCTCAAGACCTAGCATACCCTAGCACTTTCAAGTCTCTTTGAGGCCGTGCTTTGCGGCTTGCCCACCTGATTTACAGAAGGCGATGAAGGCCCGTGGTTTCCGGGGGACTTGTCTTGTAGTTCTTTCTACCTTTGGGGCTCCCTATGTCTTGAGGTGCAAATGCTCGCGCTGCAAAAGATGTTCGCTGATGCAGGCTGTTCATTCGGAGTGCTTGGGTGGTTCCGTGTTTGTCGGCGGTATTTGATGCAGAGCTGAGCCGGCGCTGTCTTGCGTTGCATTCCACTCACGGAAGTCTTTAGCTCATCACCTCACTGCATGCCATGATGTCTTTGCAGGTCAGGAATGCCTGCCGTAGCCTTAGATTCAACACCTGCTTTCTCCCCATCCTCCCGTCCCCTCGCCTTCCACCCCATCCGTCCACTCGCTTGCATGCAGTCGAGCAGGTTTTGCCAATGATATGTCAAGTCAGATATGACAAGTAAAATTAGCGAAGTGCTACAGCAGCTGATTTCATTCAGGCTTAAGGATCAGTGGTATGGACACCTTCACAGAGCTGTACAGGATTGAGACCTACGTGACAGGCCACAATCAAGTCGCGTGGACGCTGAGGATCTGGGAGAGATGGATACCGATGGGCACGTCAGCTGCAAATCACATGTGCCGCCGGCCACTTTTGAATCTTGACAATTTCCTTCTACCAACTATGCAAGATTCGGTGAGGGTGTGCTTGGCTGCCAGCCAGGCAGATACAGGTGCTGCCCATCGACAAGTCACGCCCGGTCCCCGTTCACAACTCCCAAAAGATGAGCGTGCATGACTACTTGTAGGAAGCAACTTGGGGCATGACGTGGCCGCTCATTCTAGCGGTGCTTGCCTACCCAGCGAAAACCTGACCACCACTAACCCATCCTTCAAATACTCCCAGCAGAATGGCTGCTGCGACTACGTGACTGCTACCTGCCAGCATCGGGAGAAGGAAGATGTCCCCAGATTTGAGCGAGTAGAAGGTTTGGGCAAATGTCCCGGTCCAGGGGCTTTGCTGTTTTCCGAACCCTTCGGACACTAAAGTGTTGGCCTCCGTGCCTTGGATGTTGGGGGCAAGCTGGCTGCGAATGAAGTGTAGATTAACGTTGTTTTGCATGTCTGTCGTGGCTGTTTTCTGGAGCCCTGTACATATCTCAATTCGGGCCATGGGCAAGAAGCGTGAGCGCATCCTAATCAAATACGTGCGATGCAAAGCAGATTGTGCGACTTGGCTGCAGCTGCTTTGCATAATTAATGGAGTTTTCCAAGACATTCTGCTTATTGAGGTACGGGAAAGTGCGCGAAAGGCTGGGTGGCGACGCAGCAACAAAGGCACCCTGCTTGCAACCTCAACTGGGGCAGCATCCAGAGCTCATGTTGCTTAATGCTGCTTGCAAAAAGGCGATGACAATTGGGATGTGGCATGGTCCGACACGGCGGCAGCAGCGTTCAACAACGTTTTGCGTCTCGAGCCCTTCCAATGTGTCAATCATTTTCCGCAACTTGGCGTGAACCGTGCAAGTGACAGTTTCTACAAACACGGAACCCCGTGTAGTCTCCAAAATGCTATGATCCTTCTCATGGGGACCCGCAAAGGAACCCCTAGTTTTGGGAAGCCCTAAACCCTCAGCTGTGTGATGCGCGTGTCTGAACCCTAAATAGTGATGCTTGCACTAGAAAAGGTGTGAAGGGGTGTTAAAACTGCATGGTAGCTTCCATTTTCTTCTCCATTACCCCTATTTAACTGCTATAGCTTCCCAAGAAAGGACCCCTAAGTGTCCCAAGCTGATGCCCTAAACCAAACCCTAAACAGTAGCTTCCATGTTCTTCTCCGTAATCCTTGCATAAGCCCATAAAGGTACCCCTAAGTCCCCCAGGCTGATGCAACTTATCTGCCTATCAAACCTCTATATCAACCCAATGAAGGCCCTAACTGTCCCAGGTTGATGCAACTTATCTGCCGAAAAGACTTGCTGGCGCAGCATCTCCAGGCCATGCCGCAATGCTGCCCGCAGTTCGGAGCTGAGGGGTTCCGCAACTTGGCCCATTTGAGTTAGGGTTTAGGGTTTAGGGTCCAAAAGGGTGTAGGCTTTAGGGTTTAGGAGCTGCTACGATATTTGATATAGTACCTCAAGAATGGAGAATCAAATGGAAAAGAGCATGGAAAATGACATTGAAACCGCTGTATGTAGGGTTATAGAAGGGTTATATGAGCTGTAATCGAAGCTCCTTAGATGGGGTTACATAGGGGAATAAATCGGAGAGTATTTTGCGGGCTACTAAACGGGAATGCTAGGAGTCTAGACAAAATAGCTCATTTGGCCTGTTGAGGACCTTTCATGTGGCTTGTTTTCGAAAGCCAAGGTTTCGTTCCTCAGACATGGGTTTTGCCAGGCAGCGGTTTTTTTGGTCTCATGACTGGAATGAGAGATGGAAGGCTGGAGCACCTTTGGCAGGTGACTTCCAGCGTTTTTGGGCAGACGTTCGTGAGAGCTTCAACTGCTCAAAGGCCGCTGGGATGTGTAATCCTGCATGGGCCCTGGAACTTTGGAGACATCATTCGCAGAGCAAGCCATGCAGGTCCGTGCAGGAAGGGACAACCGACAGGACATAGACAAGAAGCGAGCTTGGTCGCGAGGCTGGCAGCAGGTAACTGAGCCTTTCTGCACAGACAAATCCAAAGAATCTTTCTCTGAAGGCACATCGACGGACGCCTCTGACTCGGATGATTCCACTGATGAGGCTGCTGAGCATAATGTTGCACTGTTACATGGTATGGGTCCTATAGGTCTTCAGACGCTTTTCTAATGGGAGTGGCCAAAGAGCGTTCGGCACAGGACGAGGCAATGACTTTCATTGCAAAGCCACGATCGGGTGCCCGCGGTGTGGGCATTTTCCTCTTCCAGGCTCCCAGGGAGCATGCCCTGAAATGTAACAAGCTTGCATTTTAGGAGGCTTCCTCCTGCGAAACGCTTGAAAAGGTCAGGGCAGCCGATCTGCATGGTGGCATGTCGAGCACGGCCCTTCGTCGAGTCTCACCGGCTGCAGTGAAAGGGGTCGGTATTTGCGGTGTAGGTAACGTGTTGGGAGTGGCGAGGGGATCGCCGGCGAGCCATAGGAGAGACAGTCAATCAACATCCGTCAAAAACATGTAACTAGTTTTGAACAGCATCATCATGCGTGATCAGTTTAGGCGTGGCAGCCCAGACCAGAACTTTCAGAAGTAACATGGCTCGAAATCCTAAGACCCTCCAGATACAGATCGGGAGCGTTCCATTGGCCAGGTGCTGGAGCCTAACAGCAAGTTTGTTGTCCAGAAGTTCCTGAGCAGACCCATGCTGATCGATGGGTACAAGTGGGACATGCGCGTGTATGTCCTTGTGACGAGCGTGCACCCTCTCACAGTGTACCTCTACACTGATGGCCTGGCGCGTTTTTGTACAGACCCCTACGAGCCGCCAGACCGGGAGAACTTGGCTGACCGGGAGATGCACTTGACAAACTTCTCCATCAACTACGAGAGCGATGCGTTCGAGCCGCCCTTGGCATGATTTTTCCAAGACGCGACACAGTCTAGCAACAGCTGACATACCACCAGACATGCCATTTGACAAAGGGATGGTCTTCGTTGCAACTTGTTTGACATGTTTGCCCCAAGGAAGACACAGAAGATGGAGCTACTGGCAGCAAGCGATCTTTGAGGACAGTGCTTGGCAGCTGTGTCCAGGATGGCTGCGCACTCAGTGGAGAATCCTTGTCTTGCCTGCGATGCAGCGTTTCTATATGATTGGAGCGACCGTGCAAGGCAGCAGGTATGGGGGCAAAGCTTATGTACCAAGGCGACGCGGTTTGGAGGGAGATCGCTACATGCGTTCGGAAGACGCTGCTGGCCATTGAGCCCAAAATGCAGGCCGGGCAATGATTTGACTCGTTCCTGGCTGTGATCTGCTTACTTTCAGGAGAACTATGACCGCTACTTCGGCCGCACACGTCCGGGCTCAGGAGCTGAGGGAGCCGGCGCCAGAAGTGCAGCTCGCCATGCGACATGGGACATGCCCGAGACATGGACATTTGCCGTGGTCACCATTTCTGCCTGTACGTTTTTGGCCAACCAGAGGCATGCTTCGAGATCCTGGGGTTCGATTTCATCCTGGATGAGGATGAGAGGCAGTGGAGCAGAAATTGCGAGATGCATGTGGCTGGTACATGGGGATGCAAGTGCCATTGCTGATTAACACCTGGAGGCTGTACTTGCTGGAGGTCAACTCGGCACCATCTCTCTCCACACCGACAACTTTAGATGAGGAAATCAAAAGTAGCATGCTGGGTGAGGCCAGGCGTAGCCCACAAGCTCTGCATATCTCTACATTCCACACATATCCTGGACAGGCTTTTCGGCTTCTGCGTTTGGATGGCTCTGCAAAGGCAAGCATTTCTTTGAGAGAATTTTGCCGAGGTTGCTCGTTGTTTCGGTCCGTCGATCCAGGTTCGGCACCGTGAGAAGGCTCAGCAACGACTTGCCGAGCGCCAGCATGAGCATGTGGCGAGACGAGAGGACGCAAAGTTGGGGTTTCGAGTTTGGGCTTTGTTGGGTGAGAAGTCTGAGGCTGAAGTTAAGGAAACTTGGCCCATGGCCTCCGTGCTTAGCATACTTTGCGATGCCAAGTGATAGGAGCTCTCGCGTTTGCGAGAAGAGCGGCTGAAGCAGCTCTGCTTAAACAGTTTGACAAGCCCTTTGTCAGTCGCCTGCTTACGAGGGTGCCTCTTGCTTTACAGCCATGAGAGGTTTAAAGAAGCCATGGCAGCGCTTGCATGACCGTCTGGTGTCCCTGCAGTGCCTAGCATGCGCAATGCTCGAGACTTGACATGGAGACCTTGCAGACACTCTGCATCAAGAAGCTGGCCAGCATTTTGCTCGAGGGCAAGGATGCGCAGCTGGAGCTTTTGCCAGACTTCATTGCCGTCCAGCTGCTGCAGGAACTGTCGAAGTCTGTAGCGGCTACACGGCAGCAGGCGCAAATCTCGCACGCTTTGGCACGGGCTTTGCTGACCTGGCTTCAGCGGAGACCTCTTCACGAGCTCATCCTCAGGCAGGGGAAGCCGGGGAAGGTGGAGCAATGTGCCGAAAAGTCTCTGGCGCTTCTGGGCTCGCCTAGCCGAGGCTTTTCTTGCTTCTCAGCATTACAAGTGCTTTGCATCAGTCACTCGGCGGGCCTTCGAGACGATGACCTTGCTGTACTCCAGACATCGCGGTTACAGACTCTGCAGTTGCAGGAATGTCCATGTCTCGATGGCAGCTTCATCCGGTTCCTGTCTGGAAGTGTTGGCCAGACTCTTCGTCGCCTCCTGTGCAAAAATTGTGCAGGAATTGCTGACAGGCCTGTGTGCAAAGGACTTGGCGAGCTATGTCTGAACCAACTTAGCTTTAGCGGCTCTGTGAGATTGACAGACGAAGTGTTGGCCTTGTTGACCGGTGGTGCTGCACCTTCGCCCGTACCACGAACATCATCATCCCTGACCCACCTGGACCTGTCACAGACTGTGATAACGGATCAGGGGGCCTTGTCCCTGGCCCGCCTGGAAAGCCTGAGCTGCCTTGCCTTGTCTCGCACCAATGTCTCACAAGGTGTCCTTCGAGAGCTCTCCAAGCATTTGGGCCTGAAGCCTCTCATGCCGAATCGGCCAAAGGTGCTGCTTCGCAGCTTTGCGGTTGCCTCGGAGTTGGAGGCCGAAATACAGCCAGCGTGGGCTCACGTTGCACCCGCTGCGTTGGACCCCCAGTCATCTCAAGTAGTCTTAGGAGGCATGGGAGTGGGTTCGTCAGATATCTGCGTGTGGCCTGAAGCGGCTGTCCGACATGCAGCTGCGCTGCTTCTGTTCCAGACTTTTGGTCAGAAGAGGCCCGCTGGGCAAGAGTCCGTTCGCGCCAGAAAAGATGCAAGGAGTCCTGAGCTGCAGTGCCATGTCCCAGCAAGCTGGGTGATGTTAGCCACCTAGGGATTTCCCCAAAATAGGGACGGTTCCCCCATTTTGGGTAACCACCAAACCCACCTGAGCTATAGTAAAAGCTCCTAGTATCCCCTGAAGAACCTTTGTAATAATCCACAGACCTAATCCCTTAAGCCCTGAACCCCGACACCCCCAAAAAATCCCTGCACCCTAAGGTATACCGTTGGCTTTCTGAGTTCTCTTGGGCAGAGGAAGTTGCCCCCTCTCGTCCGAAGGGATCTGAGCGAGGCACGGGGGCCAAAGGCGTAGGTTGATTGTTGAGTTATTATTGCGATTATTGGGTTATTGCGATTATTGGATTACTATTAGGGTTGGGCCCCACCACTAACAGTGATCACAAGAGATAAAGGTAAGTATATTAGGATCTCTATATTCCTAGTATACTGCTATGAGTGGGGTCCTAACCCAAATTATCATTGCGATTGTTGAATTATTACTACTGGTATGGACGTTGCTCATGCGGCATGTCCGTATCCAGTGTTGACATTGATCCTTCCAGGCAAGACCTGCGACTGTCGACATGTCTGCCAGAGAGTCTGTGCCGCAGCATGCAATTGCTAATTATAGTCCCTCTTAAGTAGATAGAATATGGCTTTGGGTATATTATAATGACATCCCCCCATTTACCCCATATTCTATCTACTTAAGGGGGACTATAGGCTTTTGTTAGTCCTGGTCTAGTGGGTGGCTTTATGAATCACGTGTAAGTGACGTCCAGGATGCGCAGCTGCCGAAAACCGGGGATGATGCACAGCCCGGAAACTCGGTTGCTGTTAAGGGGACGTAGATTCAGTTACTATACTAGGGAAACCGTATACTGTACCATATACTCATATTATGGTCACTTAGTTCAAGTTCCTTGACAGCAACCCAGGAGAAGGTGACACTGATGAAGACAGCGATGCCTCGAGCTACGACAGCTCCTCAGCGGAGGAGAGCGATTGGGAGGAGTTTGATGATGAATTCGCCTTCCTTGGCGCACCGGTCAGCAACCTTGCCGCAAGCATTTCAGTATGAACTCATCAGATGATCCTTGCTTTTGTAAGGGAGTTCCGAAGTGTTTGAAGGAGCTCATTCCGAGTTCGAGTGTAGCTTCACTGTTGACGCTTATTGCTTTACGTGGGGTTTAAGGTTAGCTCTGAAGAGATGTTTCGTATGGTCTTCGTGAGTCGTGTGGTCGAGTCTAGATAGCATTGATGTCTTTCAAAGCACAGGGCCGCCATCTCAGTTGAATATTGTGCTCAGTGGATGCGGCATGTCCTTGCTCTCCCGCATGCTCCCGCATGTGGAGCGTCCTCAGAACGTGTTTTGGGATCTCAATGTTTGCTTCGTGTTCGGACGCGTCTCTTCAACATTGTGCTCCCGTGTGGAACGACCTCCGAGGTTTGATCGGAATCGACAACCCTGTCAGAGGCTGCCCTGTCTGGATGCTCCTGCATGAAGCGTCCTCAGCATTTTGTCGGTGGACGCGGCGTGTCCGGCTCGGAATGAACAACTTCGACGCTCCTCTGTGATGCGTCCTCGGAGTTTTGCTCGGAATCGACAACACTCACCGTGGACGCGGCGCGTCTGGACGCTCCTTCGTGGAGCGTCCTCAGAGTTTTGCTTGTTCGAATGCTCCCGCATCGAGCATTGAATGACACGGTCTCAAGCCATATCCTCCAGTCAATATGGCAATGATATTGCATCAACGCCCTTCGCGTAACGTGGTTGAATCACATGCGGGGATGCGCTTGAGCACGAGCTAGTGGCTTCGCAGCCGATGCTTCTGCATGTTTGCGTGGCTTGGCGTTGAGCTTGTGCAATACATGCTGACCTATGTTTCGCCTGACTGGATGTGGCTGAAACTAGTGGTGACAGCAACTCGTTGCTCGGCACACTTCGTTTTCATGTGCGAATGGCAGATCCATCAAATTCCGCCATGAGAAAGATGCTGAACATGCTTATATCACGGCCATGGCTGAGGGTTTGTCTTAGCTGTGTTATGAGGCAGTGCTGAATCATCTTGATGATATGGTGATGTTGCATATAATTCCGGCAGCAGCTGCAGCATCTGGAAGCTGGAGTTGGAAAAACACTTTGTTGGGTAAACCCTAAACCCTAAAGTAGTAGTTTCCATTTTCTTTTCCATTCTCCCTATATAATTCCTATTATCGTTAATTAACATTAGTTTTATTCCTATTCTTTGGCAAGCAGCTTCGGCCTGGGTGGATTCTGCAAATCAAGTTGATGATTTCGAGTTTAGTGTTTACATGGTGTATGAGTGTTTAGGCCACACATATCTATGTAGGCACGAACACGCCCACCCATATACCTACACCTTGAGCCGCGCGAAGCCATATTGGATGGCTGATGCTTGATTGATCGGTGATGTGAATGGGATGATGACGTTGTTGTATGGTTTTCGTGAGGTCTCGCACAGGATGTGGGGTTGATGGCATGACACCTGGTCGTTTCCCTGATGTTAGTTCTTATTGATTCATATCTTTCTTTTCCAGGAAAGGGTACTACCTCACTGCTTCCAACACTTTCGGGACACCCGTGCTCTAGTTTCCCAGCTCTACTTGTGAGCGAAAAGCCCAGATCAAATTGGTCTACTCAGGCAGGAGCTATGTGCAGATCCTCCCTTCCGAGGACATGGAGAAGGCAGAGTGGAAGGAGCTAGGGGTGCCAAGCATGTTTGGCTGTGTGCTACTCAAATCTGGCTACAGCAGGAGATTCAGGCCGGAGCAGCCAAGTTGGCACAGGGTCTCTTGGCAAATGCGGCACGGCTTTTGTAAGGGCTATCAAACTTCTGCGGTGTGTCCAGTTGCATCTATTCCCACAGGTTGGAATTGCAACGTTCGGCGCCCACAGAGCCAGCCAGCAAACTGTGACTTCGCAGACCTCCTGCGCAGTAACTTGGCATTCAGGAAACTTCCGTGTTAGTGTTTGCCTCTTTGATGCCCTCGCTCAGAAGTTCCAGCGGAGAGCCTCGACCTGGCCACTGTGCCAACAGCACGCAGCCTCAGTCGACCCGTCCAAGCACGAATTGGTGAGACGCTCGCGAGGTGGGGTACTTTCACGACAGCTGAAAATCCTCTGGCCATGTTGCTTGCCATCACTGCTTGATTGTGCAGGCGATGCGCGCGTGCTAAGACACAGCCTGTCGCTCCGTAGACCAGCTCAGTTTGGAAGTAAATTCCTGACACCACCTTATGCGAAGCCATTCTGTTAGCAAGATAGCATTGCATGGCTGCAGCTGAGGAGACCAGTCAGTAAGCCGCGGGAAGCCAGAGAAGTGCTACCCTTGAAAACTGTGCAGATTCAGATTGGATTGTAAGCCGCACTCTGATGTATCCGCAGTCGTCGGAGCTGTTTTTGAATCAGAAGTGCCGCACATGGCCACAGTGGCCAACATGCGTTTAGTAACTTGTTTGATTTGGTAGTTTGCCAAAATTGGGGGAACCCAATATAGCCCCTAAAGGCGACCCCGGATTTTGGGAAACCCCAATTTTAAGAGCTGACATGACTAAGCCAATGGCTTGTCCGTAGTGCTCACGTGTTGGTTGTAGGGCGTCGGTCAACTGACCCCATGCACCTGTACAGGAAAGTTACTGGTGGTTAGTAGGGAATAAGGGAATATAATATGGGGTTTGGGATTTAGGGTCAGTAGGGAAAAAAGGGAACATAATCCCTATACAATCCCAATATAACATATTCTCTATTCCCCACTAACCCCCAGTAAGTAAATACGTGTACCTTTTGAATAACGATTCTTGCCGATGAGGCTGCGCTTGAGAGTGCTGATGAAGTTAAATGGTAGTTTCCATGAGGAGGAGACCTCGATCTAGACTCCAATGTATTATGATCCTTATAATGGGGACCCCCTAATGGTACCCTCATTTGGGAAACTCCCATGTAGTAGCCGTGCGACCTGACGGCTCAAGGCCGGAGGTGTGCACCATGCATGACTTACTGGTGGTTAGTAGGCAGTAAAGGAAGATAGTCCCTAAAAGATCTCCATATAACATCCTTACTGTACGAACCACCAGTAAGATGAATCATGAAGATTGCCCAGTCGTAGAGGCAATCGGATCTTCCACCACGTTTTTATGCTTTGGGTGACCTCACTTGAGGGCCATGTTATCCCCGATGCCATCGCAGTACAACTTGTGGAGGCACAAGGCTGCTCAGGCCACCGGGATCTTCCCCAGCTTGAGGCGTGCAAAGTTTCATGGAGGCAGCAACAGGAGGATGTCTTGCGCCCCCAGAGAAAATATCGGTGTGGCAGTGTGTAGGCTCCACCTGTTTTTACAGGAGCAAGGTTACGGAAGAGCAAGTATATTAGCAATGGTCACAAGACCTGAAATGTCACTCTGTGCACTCAATGCAGATTCTCTACCATAGTATGGTAGTTTCCATTTTGTCCATTATCCCTATATAACTCAATGTAAACCTAACCCAATATGACCAGAATATATTCCCTATGTCATCCCTATATAACTCTGATATATAGTCCCCCTTAAGTAGATAGAATATGGCTTTGGGTATATCATAATAAGATCCCCATATACCCCATATTCTATCTACTTAATTGGGAATATAACCTCAATATTACCCCATATTACTGCATGAGATCTTGCTCTCAAGCTTTAGGTTGCGGGGCTGAAGCCAGGGAAGCTCTGGAGGCCTCTGGACTGCAGGGATGCTACGAGACCTGCGATTATCTGACGGTTTAGTATAATGTACTACAATATATTATTATATACTACAATATACTACAATATACTGTTTAGTATAATGTACTACAATATATTCTTATATACTACAATATACTACAATATACTACAATATACTGTAATATACTACAATCTATGATAATATGTCATATTCCACAAAAATATATTGCAATATTCTATAATATACTACATTACCTTCCCGACTCCCAGCAACTAGTCACCTTGGGTGTGGGGACTCGTCCACGAAGATCTCAAGAAACGTGGCGCATCAACCCGGAGGCCGCTACGAAGCAGCACCTCGCCGGCGTTGCTCGCTCAGCTTCTTGCTGTGTAGGGGTTGGTTACATTGGTGTTATATAGTGGTTACATAGGGATTATATTTGGGATATATAGGGATTATTGTGGGGTTATATAGGGATAATGGACAATGAAATGGAAGCTACTACAGCTGAGTGAACTGACCCTGTGAAGTCCCATCAGAGTAGTATCCAAGTGTAGAGTCAACAGCTGGTACCTGTGGAGAGGCAACCTTCAAGCGGATACAGAGCCATGAAGATGCCAGGGCCTCTGAAACCCTTTAAACCCAATATAACCCATTATAGTAGTTTCCAAATTCTTTTCCATTATTTCCATATAACCCCTATATAACCTTAACATAACCCTAATATAACCGTAATATAACCCTTTAAACCCTTTAAACCTCTGAGGAGGACTGCAAAGGAGATCGGGGGCTGCTACCTTGTAGTAAGGACACTGTCCGTCACTGTCCCCCCCCCCATCTCCTAGAAATACAGGGGCTGCAAGCATTTCTTTGTCAGGGGTAGGGTTTTTTTATCCTTGCGGCAGGAGACGCAAAGAAGTTTTTTCCTCTGACTTAGCTAGAGCCAAGACCTAAAAGCCTAACCCCTTTGAAGCCTGCAGTAAATATACCTCGCGCGCAATCGAACAATTGCTTGTGGCAAGTTCCTGAAATTTTGGGTCTCCTCAAAGAGTCCTCGTGATCAGGGGTAACTGAGAGGGGTTGGAATGCGCATGCTTAATCAGGCATGTCTCTTGGAAAAGCCCGTAGAGCATTCGAAGTCAAGGTGGCTGACAATCTCAACGATGATCCAGCTTGGGACTCAGGTGCGGGTGGGAAGGCAGGCGACATGATTACCCCTTCCACCAACCGCTAGCCGCTAGCTGTTGAGAAGCCTAGCATGTTGCTGACTGAGACCACTCCCTACATCTACTTCGAAATTCCTGGCGATCTTAGTGCCAGAGGTGCGCATGAAGTCGGGCCAACAAAAATGAAAGCATTGCGATTCGAGCAGCAGCATGGACAGAGTTGGTCTCACTTGACGCAAAAGGTCGACAGGTCGAGCGGTTTCTTTATGCCTACGTCTTACCTGCAACTTGTTGTGATCTTCGTGCCAGCAGTGAACCACCGAGCTAATTTTCCCAGGCCGCTGTGCCGAATGGAGGCGGTCCGTCAGTTCCTCAGGGCTTTGATGCAGCTGCGGGCTTCTGAAGTACAGCTTCTCCAAGGCGGATACCGATTAACTTCGGTCGCCAGGTGGAAATCGACAGAGCTCATAGTGGTAGCAGTAAAAATAGTAGAAATAACAATAGTAATTCCTGAAAGTTGGTTCCTTGAGAGGTTAGAAGCTGTGACAGGTTGCCTGCAATCTTCTCGGCTGCGAGGATAAGGCCGCATGGAGCATTTATGGAGTCGTACATGCTTCTTCTGGGTTGCTGGTAAGGAGTTTAATGATTATGGGCATATAGTGAATAGACTTTCTTTATTGCATGAAAGGAATCGCTCTTATGTACTTCTTCCCACTGAGAGCCGCAGGTCGATTGGCGACAGTGCCAGGATTCGAAAGAAGGGGAGAAGCCCTAAACTCAGGTTCACATGCAACTGGGTACCCAAAAAAAGGTGGGGCAGAGAATTCCATGCACTGTGGCTCCAGGAAGCTGGCAATCACCCTCCGAGAGATCTTCAAACCTTTCCAAGTGAAAGGGAAGTGAGGAGGTTATGCCCCCGTCTTAAGCCTAGGGCAGATGTGAAGAAAACGTGACGTTGCCTGGCAATCCGGCCGCGCAAGCATGCTGTGGAGAATGCTATCCTAAGTTTAGTCAGTTCTTGATGATGACTGTTTCCCCACCCCCCCTCCCCCCTAATAGAGACGTCGTGTTTCTATTGCGCTTCACCTTTCATTCTGTGATTCTCCGCAGTTTTGGGCACCAAGTGTCCGGACCCAGACAACATGAGACAGAAGGTCCGAACATGACAAATGTCATCACTGAGCCTCACCACCCAAACACAACTTCTCAGCCCAGCCAGCAGCATGACATGCATTTAAGCCTAGTTTGCAGCCGTTTTGCGATGCACTCAACCAAGCAGCCAACAACACAGCAAAGCATCACTAGCTGCTCAGCTTGCCAGCATCATGTGGGGAGCGGGGTGGGCGCCTCAAATTCCGCGTGGGTGCTTTGGGGCAACCTATTGCATCGGATGTGCAAATGCGCTGGTAGACTAGCCGCTCAGAAATGGAGATGTGGCAGCAGAATTTGAGGTACAATCCTGCACAACCGTTTGTGCCCGGGGTTGCTCCGACAATGCCTCAGTCAAGACAAGCCAAAAGCGGTACTGCTCAGCACTCGATATTGCCTCGCCTTGTCAAGGGCGAACCCTTTCGTGCCTGCACAGCATGCTTGGGCAGTAAAGCCCTCAGAGCACAGTATCACAAGGGCCTCAGCTAAGCCTGTTCGGTTGCTACTCACCCCAGGCTGCTGCGCAGCAACGGCAGTATGCGTGCGCTCAGATGCATGGCCAATGCATAAAAACAAAGGATGGTTTTGATCGAGTAGACTTCGTACAAACCACTGTTGAAGGTACGGGGCTACACCAGCAGCCCAAGCCTTAGCTTGACTGTTGCCACATTTGCCGCACGGCCTTATGCCCACGTTGTGCCACAGGCCGGATATGCACCAGCTTCTCTGAGCTTGGCTCCCATTGGCTGCTTGCCAATGCTGAATGTTGAGGGCTGGCGTGCAGTTCCTGAGCGAAGTATTACGCTACAACTTCCCGGCTCAAGGCTTACCGTGTAGGCAGGACTGACGCACTGTATCAAGCTCAGCTCAGCATACTACCTGAAAGCAGCGACGGTTGCTTGCGGGTCGGTAGAACACAGCCAGTTTGCAAATGCATGTCATTCGCCGGCCTTCGCGAGTGGTTCTTAGAAAATGGTGGTGAGCTGGCTGAAGGCAAATTCTCAAAGAGTTGTTTGTGATGCTGTCCCGGAAATAAGATTCTGGCTCTCTTGGGGTTCGATTTTTTACACCTGTACGGCTTTGAGGAAGTGAGGGCAGCTCCCCCGGCTTCATGCACAGGCGTCCATGTCGCAGATTCAGCGCTGGGTGGCCGTGGGCTCTTTACGTCGAACCCCCTCTCTGCAGGCTACCAGGTCTTGTCACTTCCTTTGGAGTCCTGTTTGTGCCTTGTCTTCAACTTTGCAACAGGGGCAGGTTTGATGGTTTGATGGTTTCGTTCTTGAACCGTTTTGGAAGGTATTGCGAAAATAAGGTCGTCTGCAGACCCAAGAGTGGCTGAGTTGCCAGTGAACTCGTTTCTCGGCCCATGACTCGAAAGTTTGCTTTTGCTGCAGCTTGTTATTTGCAGAATTACGCAGCATATTGCTAACTGCCAGAACACGAGGCTTTTTCGACTCACCGAACTCTTGTGCGATGAGCTAGAGAAGGGCAACTTCTCTCGATGGGCATCCTGGCTTCGGGGCCGCGTTTATTGAGGAGCAGGGTAAAGTCCTTTTTTGATTCTGCGCTCTTCAGGTTCCAGTCCTTGCCCAAAGAGTGTGGCAGCTGGCCAGAGTGGAGGGAGCTGGAGCTGCGAGCTGCGGAGAAGGGTCCTCCACAGCTCTTCGAGGAGCTCCAGACTTGGCAGGGGCTTGAGATACCTTTGATTTGACTGCAGGTTACCTCTAAAGACTCAAGATATTGCGTTTTAAGCTATCTTTCTCTGTCTCCCTCTCTCTCTCCTCCTTCTCCCTGTCCCCCCTCCTCGCACTGTTCCTCTCCCCCGCTCTCTCTCTTTGTTTTTCCTCTCTCTCGCTCTCTCCCACCCCGTTTAGCATTGGCTGGCGCTGGCAGGAGGCTGTCCAGCTGGCGAAGAGGCTGCCGCTGTGGTACAAGCAGCTGAGCCAGATCCTCCCGGCAAGCAGCGTGGCTAATTTGAGCCAACCATGGACACGTTCCGAGATGCATTGTCTCGTGTGAATGGCAAATCAACAGGCAAATGAATAGAGTTGTTGGTCTCAGGTGTCATCGCCGGTCTCGATGACAAGGCCAGCTTTCGGCGAGCGTTAGCCATACTGTTCAGCCGGCGCTTCGGAATTGAAATTGACGGCTGCAAGATTGCCGTCTGTGTTCCGCTGGGTGACATGATAAATCATACAGCTGCGGACGCTAGCATTGAGGTTCAGTACGACCAGGCCTCTGGGCGCATGGCCTTTGTCACCCAAACACACATATCGGCTGGAGAGGAGCTTCTTATTCGCTACGGACAGCTGGACAACTTGGAGCTGTGCACGAGCCACGGGTTCGCACTGCCAGAGAACATGTTGGACAGCGTCGTGCTATCTGACGGTGTTAGATTGACTCGGGCATCTCAGCTGTCACTTCCGGCCTCAGTCGAGGTTCAGCGCATGAGGGATGCCTTGCCTCTACAAGAGGAGGATGAGGCCGCCCATGCGGACAAAAGCAGCTCGCAGGGATGCCGTGCGATTGCCAGTTTTCGCCTCGGCTACCGAGACCTGCTGCAGAAGCTACTGGACAACTACTCGGAGGATGTTGGGTAGGTGTTGGAACTCTCACTTACAGTAGAGGTAGCCAGAAATCGCTCCGTGAACAAGGCTTCCTGCACGAGGAGAGGAATATATCTTGGCCAAGAACATGCCCTAGCTGAGCTGCCTGGAATCCGTGCCCTGCGTCGGTGAAGCAGCAAAAAGGCTCTCGGTTACCTGTGGGTAGCACGGTGACTTGAGGTTGTTCCAGCGGCATTGGATGTGCCAGCGTGATTCCAAATCTTGTTCCTTAATGAGGCGTTTCCTGGCCGCTGGGGACGATGCAGCAGTGTCCTCCTCAATGGCTCCTTTCATGAGCTCTGTGGACCACACTTATTGGGCTCTCTGAGGAGTGCCTCCTCCAAACCACCAGGCGAGGAAAAGCTGCTGCCTCAGATGGATCTTCCTTGCCCTTCAGGCGGCCATCGTTAGATGAACGTTGCTTCATAGCTAGGTATGTCGCCTTCTCTGAGGGCAATGACAAGGAAGAGGCAAAACCATACAATGAGTCCTTGTTCTTGAAGCTGAAATGCAAAACAACCTTTAAAATGCCAGTTCGTGATCCAAACCCTGAGTGGCGAGTTTGTGGCCGTTCCCCTTAGCCAGCAGTGTTTGGACTTGTACAGTCTTTCCCTGTGTAGTGAGCACTGCACGGTCCAGGTCAAGGGTGAGAATCATGGCCGGCCTTACTATCAGAAGCTGCAGCTGACTCAGTCCCGCCACAGCTACTTTGGGCCTCTCTCCGTCCTCTCTCTCTCTCTCTCTCTCTCTTTATTTATAACACCTATATAGCGCTATAATATAGAAGAGTAGTTTCCATTTCAGTTTCCATTATCCCAATATAACCCCAATATGCTTTCTAGTAGTTTCCAGTATCTCTTCATAGTATCCCCTATCATCCCTTATATAACCCTTATATCTCTTCCTGGTTATCTTGTCTGAGCGTAATCGCTTCAGGGTAACTCCTCTTTCTGAGGCCAATCAGACCAGGAACGGCGCCTCCAGAGGCAAGGGGGCCTCGTTGAGCAAGGAATGCTGCACTTATAGGATGTTATAGTATGTTATGGCTGGTATATTGTAAGATATTAATGGTATATATAATATATTATGGTATAATCTAGTATAGTATCTTGTGGAAGGGAGGGTTTTCATGGACTACGCCCGAACGAAAGAAGAGAAAGAAAGGTTGTACTGCGCATGCGCTTTTCGAAAGCATGTGCATTTGGGGAGCGTGCGCAGGTGTACGTCTATTACTGGGATGGGCGCGATGGTTCCTCCTTTGAGGGCTGGTGGTTTGGTAAGGCTGCGGCTCAGCAGCTGCCGCTGGCCTCTTCTCAACTGTCCCGCAGCTGTCCAATCTAAGGCTGTGGGTGGCAACGAGGCGCATCACACAGAAGCCCATGCTGATTGAGTGTTAGAATGTTAGAGCACGGCGTGGGTGATTCTTCCGTACTTTGACCAGGTTTGGTCTCACTGCTGACAACTTAGACTCGCAGGCATGATAAGCTACGCAGCTTCAGGGCTGGCAGAGCCATGAAGCCCGAGGCCCGGACAAGGCCTATCTGCCACCTCTCAAAGGCTGGAAGATCCCATTCCAGGGGCCGCAAGCCCGGTGGACTGGTTGCACATAGCACTAGCTGCTATGAAGCCACATGATTTCTGAGGCCTCCTCGCAACACTTTCTTGATGATGCCCAGGTTGCGTGGAATCATGTCTACTCAGCCTACTCCTGCGCTAGTCTCCATCAGCATTTGCATGCATCTCTTGTGGATGATGGCCATGGCTATGTGAGCAGTGTTGGACGGAACGATGGCAGGTCAGAAAAGGTGAAGCGAGAAAACTCCGAGCGTGCAGGGCGTGCTAAGGCAGGAGTGCAAGTACAGCCGGGGAAGGTAGCACAGGAGTTGCATACAAAATTGCGGAACTAGGCCCGGGTTCCAAACACCGGTGTTCCTGCCAAAGCGAGAGGTCATGGAGCAGGAGGCAAACAACGTCATCAACGCAGCCCAGAAGGCAGCCGACGAAGCAAGTGCCTGCCCTACATCTGTCCGCGCTGTTCCCACACTTCACTGTCAACGCTTGGGTTTGTTGGGATAGCACACACGTGACTGAGAAGCCACCTGCGAGAGAGACCACGGCAGCAGAGCGCTTGGCTGGATTCGGAGCCCGCAGATTGTTCTAGCAGAAGACTAGTCATCTGCAGGTCTGGATCCCACAATCCTCAAGGAGACAGAGGCTCACTGGCCCGTGGTCTAGCACGTAGCATGGCATGCCATAGGACATGACATGCTGTCCAGGCAGCTCTGAAGCCACACCTGCAGGCTGGGGTAAAAGAAAAACACAAGTCTGGAAGAGCTGCAGAAGACTTCCTCATGCCTTTGCAGGCCTTGCTGGACCAGCTCAAGGTCCTCGAGACCTCTGGCCTAGGCCCGTTTTGGGATGCTCAGGTATGAGTGCCAAGATGCTCCAAGATGTTCCAAGCAGGCGATGCCATACGAGCGGCTGAGCTCGAAGCCCAGCGTTTTGAAGCCGCTGTGCGCTTGGGCCCTTTGTGGCCTTTGGACGGCTTGCGCAGTGGCTGCAAGGACTCGTCTCCGAAGAACACATGTCGCAGCCACCGATGCCGCGACCAAGATCAAGGCTCATGACTCATATCAGTCAGGAGCCATTCGTTTCTCCCCAGCTCAACACGTTGCTTAGGTTCTCATACCGCAGGCAACCGGCCCTCTTGCTTCAACTTGGGAGTTTAAAGCTTGATTGCCTGCATTTGTGTGATAGGTCATGAAGGTTCAGCAGGAGAAACAATCCGAACAGCGAGTGGCCGCCTTGGCATGGCAACTCTGAGTTTTTTTTTCACTGCGCTCTGCCACCCGGACTTGTGCGCTTGCAAAAACAGGACGAGAAGCTCTTGAAGGAGATGCTTGCCTCCATCATGGAAAAGTTCCATGAAGCAGAGGCCCACGTGACTTAAACCGCCTGCGAGCTTGTCAACACCAGACTGCAGCACTCAAGCCTTGCTCTTTCTACAGGATTTAGTGGAGAAAGCTGAAATTACTTCAGCAATGATCGAGCACGCATCTGGGCCGCAACTCTTTTGACTGAGAGCTTCCAAGCTGTGGTCGCAAGAGGGCAGCATTCACCCACTGATTGTTTCCAGGCGGGTGACGATCTGTCAGAGGCGCAGAAGGCAGCTGAGCAGACCGAGGAGCCTCACTGCCTCCAAGTTGCTTCGTTTTGCTTTGTTTATGCTTTTTGCTTACTTGGCCTGCCGAACATGTCAAGTCAAAGGAGTCCGCCAAGCAAGCAGCCGCTGCAGCACCTTGGCAGCAGGGGGAACAGGGCCAGGAGGCGGAGTTGTCCAGATGCGGGTGGAAGCAGGTGGAGATGTCAAGAGAATATGGTATGTAATAGTATACTATAGATACTGTAGCATATTATAGTATATTATAGTATTCTGTCACATCTTATCGTATATTACGGTATCATACAGTATATTACAGTATGTTAGAGTATACTAGAGACGATATGTCGTGGTTTCTGTGCTTTGAGCTCTGAGGTCAAGGAGGCTCTGACGGCCTGTGCCTCACAGAGGCATGCAAAGGCTTGAGCTTGCAGTGTGACTTGCTGTACTCCACCCAGATCCTCCTGTCAGGGTTTAGGGTTTAGGCTTTGGGTTTTAGGGTGGAGGGTTTAGGGTTTAGTGGCTTAGTTTGTAGGGTGGAGGGTGTTAGGGTTTAGGATGGAGGGTTTAGGGTGTAAGTGTTTAGGGTTTGGGGTGACCCCTGATTCCTGGAATTCAACCCGCACTCCTTGGCTTGTCCTTGTACCAATTCTTGAAAGATCCTCCTATATCTTAGGCTTACAGTGTCTCGAATATCTACAGTGCCCCGGAAACCGGTAAGTAAAGCTCCAGGGCTTTTAAAAGTAATCTTCGTGCCGCCCGGTAACGCTTCTGTAACTGCAGTCTGGGCTCGCACTTAATCCCTAGACCCCTCGTAACTGAAGCAGCATTGAACAATTGAATTCCAGACTCTACTCACCTAGACCTGCAACACGGAAGCCTTATGCCCTTGACCAACCTTAGCGACTTCAGCTAATCTTTTTGATTCTTAAAAGTAGCACAAAGCTTGAGTTTTCAACCCGAATAAGCTACACCAAACACCCACAGATAGTTACCACTAAGATATGCAAGAATACGACTCGTACAATATACTATGGTATCTATAGTATACGCCTCCGCCTGAGGCCATTGGCCTGAAACTGGGCATGCTGAAGCAGTTTGAGAGTGATCAAGGCAGACTCAAGGCCGGCCAAGCACCCTTGATATAGGATTTAGGGTTCAGGATTTAGGGTTTGTATAAGAGGGTTATGACTCTATTCATAGGGATAATAATGGTGATAATGGAAAAGAACATGGAAACTACTATTTATCGTAAGGGTTTAGGGTTTAGGGTATAAGAGGGTTATGACTCTATTCATAGGGATAATAATGGGGATAATGGAAAAGAACATGGAAACTACCATATATCGTGAGGGTTTAGGGTTTAGGGTATAAGAGGGTTATGACTCTATTCATAGGGATAATAATGGGGATAATGGAGAAGAACATCGGAAACTACTATTCATCGTTAGGGTTTAGGGTTTAGAGTATAAGAGGGTTATGATTCTATTCATAGGATGAAATAATGGTGATAATGGAAACGAACATGGAAACTGCTACTTAGGCTTTAGGGTTTATGGGTCTGGGTTGCTGTTAGGGAATTCAAATTGGGTTGCCATATGATGGCTATATACTAAATAATAGCGTGACTTAAGTGAAGTTCCTTAACAGCCCAGGAGAAGCTATTCAGGCTTAGGGCTGGGGATTTTACCGCAGGTGGGGGTGTTTGGGGTTTCAGGAGTCTTGGGTCCTAAACCCTCAGCCCTAAACCCTAAGCCCTAAAACCTTAAACCCTAAACAACAAAAAAATTACAACCCTAAACCCTAAAACCTAAACCCTAAAACCCTAAGCCCTAAAACCCTAGAACCCTAGAACCCTAAACTAAGTTAGGGAGGGTTGAGGCTTCGAAGGTTGGATGCAAAAAGGCTGGTGGGCTTAGGATTTTAGTTCGGCTTTGCGGTTTCAGGGCTATAGGGTTATAGGTTTGGTTTAAGTGTTTAGTGTTAGGGGGGGTTTGGGTGGGGGTTAGGCGTTGGGATTTTGGCTTAAGGGCTTGGTGGTCAGGGTGAGGGCTCTGCGGTTTTGAGCCTGGAGTGTTTAGGGGTTAAGTATTGGATTAGGGTTTAGGGCTGGGGATTATGTCTTTTCAGGCTTAGTCTTAGGGGGTAGCCTGAGGGTGTGAGGGTTAAGAGGGTTCAGGATACAGCTATTCAAGGGCCGATGTTCAACTTTCAATGGTTCAAGGCCCCAGGGCCCAGGGTTTGACAAAGTGTTTGAGGTTTGGGCTTTTCAGTAGGAGTCCAAGTGTAATGCAATTATGTGTAGTCCGCTTGTCATGGGCCCGTAAGAGGGACCCCTAGAAGGGACCTGGCCATTACTTTATTTAACCCTTATATAGTCCTTATACCCCGACATAACCAGGCCTCGTAATTCCCTAAACTGGCCCTTGACCCTAAACACTAAACCCTGGACCTGAACCCTAACCCCTAAACCCTCAACCAAACTCTAAACCCTAAACCCTAAACCCCAAACCCTAAACCCCGAACCCTAAACTCCAAACCCTAAACCCCTATCTCCCATAAGCTACATGCCCCAGATGTTGTCCAGCGTGACCAGGCCACGGATTCCCTGGGTACCTTCAGGGAGAAGCTGCGGGTGGCAAATCAGCGGCTTGCTTTCTTTTTCGGAAAGTGCTACTAATAATTACCATTACTATTATACTTGCTTTTAGTTGTCTTACATTAGTACAACTTTTATTAAAGATATTCTTATCATTACTATTCTGATCAGTACAAGTTGGCATCCAATAATATCATGAGTACTACCCCTAATTACTATATAGTGGTACTATATAAGTATAATGGGGCGATTACCATCATCAGGACTATCAACGGTTTGAAGCGTCGTTCTTGCAGTCTCTAAGGCAATTCTCTTTGCTTTTTCAGCAGCAGAAAATGTGAAGGTTCGCTTTGGTTTCTAGCGGTACATATTGTCAGTCTGTCGCCACAAGAATATTGCAATCAATTGGTTGGGGTTCCAGCATCTTTGCACAGTGGCAGTTAGTCTAATGTGGGCTATTGTCATTCGTATGCTAGTTTGGTGCACTTTCGAATCCATTAGGTGCATGGGTAGTGTCGGTGGTAGATCATATGCGGATCTTCCCCAAACAGGGCCGACGGGATGCCACGGGTATGGGGATGACAATTGGATTACAAGGGTCCCGTAGGGGGACCATAAGGCGGCGGTTGCTCTCAGAAACGTGCGTACGAACTATCTGGATGCCCTTGTCTGGGTTGACGTTAAGGGATTTGAATACAGCTGCCATTATACAAAAACAAGATCGCTTGCTATGCAGCCATGTGATGGTGACTCAGCTCATGCTCCTGAACAACAGCAATCCATATAGACCACTATATGAGCTGTAGTTCAAACTCCTTAAAGGGGGTTATATGGGAGACTATAGGGTTATTCAGGGGGATACTAGGAGACTATGGCTCATATAATCCCAGTTTCCACTTCATGGTCCATGGTCTTTTCCACTTGTTTCTCCATTCTTCCTATATACCCTTATACAGCCCCCAAAAAGGTCCATGCACCTAAAACCTTACACCCTAAACTCTAAACCCAGTGGTTGAAGCCCAGGAAGTTGCTGCCGTTCCTTGCGGCCCAGGAAACATTCAAGGCTCAGGTGGGGAAGTTCCCGAAGATGGAGAATCCATCGGGCTTTGCTTTGCTTCTGTAAGACTTTAGGGTTAAGGGTTCGGGCTTTGCTGAGCGAACGTAGGACGACGTTGGGAGGTGGGGCTCGTAGAGTGCGAGTCGGAACTCCTAGCCGGGGGCTGTAACTACGGAACTTGTAGTTTCCAGACCTGCCAGGTTGAGGCGAAGCACCTGTCTGATGAGATGGAAGCGAAGCTGATGCCAGCAGAGGCTTGCTGTTGCTATATCAATCGGTTACTGGGGTACTGTACATATAAGTGCCCATATGGGCACGTCTGAGGAGAACTTCTGTGGATTAGGGACCTTATAAAAGTAGTCAAGAGGAGAAATTGGCATGGGGCCTTTGAGAACTCCCGAGATCCAGATGCCGCACATCTCGGTGCATGTCGAGCCTTGTCTGAGCAAATTTGCCGCCAGGTTGAAGTGGAGCGTGCTGAAACGATTGCCGAACCCCTCCTGAGCTTCGCAGAGGTGGGTAACTTCTGGAATTCGGGTTTAGGGTTGAGGGTTTAGAGTTTAGGATTGAGGGTTTGGGGTTTAGGGTCCAGCCAAGTCCTTCCGATCGATCATCATGGTTGCTCACGTGATCCTAGGCGTCTGCAGTGGTATAAGAACTCTAGATGTATCATTGCCCCAAACCCTACATGCATAAGAGCCTTAGACCCTACATTTAACCTTAAACCTTACATCATGTAACCCTAAAACCTAAATCTAACACCCAAAAACTAACACCAATTTTTAAACCCTAATCCCTACACCCAAGTCTCATGGCTATGGAGGCAGCCTTGGCAGCTGGTCAAGCTGCTGCGGAGGCCACCGCTACACCCAAAGCGAACCTTGGGGGAGAGATAGAAAAACATGGGGTTTAGGGTTTAGGGTTTAGGGCTTAGGGTTTAGGGTTTTGAGATATCTAGGGATTAGGGTTTCCCAAAATTTGGAGATACCTTAGTGGTTTGTAGGGATTGAGGTTTCCCAAAATTAGGGGATACCTTTTTGTGGGTCCCCGTTACACGTCTTATCGTATTTGGGGTTTATATTGGGGTCTCCCTGTTTAGGGAAACTACCAATTATGAGGCCGCCCAGAAAATCCCATATCCTATATGCGTACATGCATACGTACATCTGTATATGCCTGCACCATAGATGAGTGTGTATATATATAGAGAGATATAAACGTCTTCGCTATGGGCTCATTCTACTGTTGCTAGTGAGTTGTTCAGCTTCATTCCTGGGTAGCTGAGGAAAGCAAAGGCCAAAGAGAAAGATACCTCCAAGCAGAAGAAGGACAAAGGCTCCAAGCAAGAGCTTCCATCTGCTGAGGTGCCCTGGATAGTGCCACTGTTGTCAACAGCTACATGAACTATATAGGCTAAATCCCTTAAAGGGTGGTTCTATGTAAGGGATTATATAGAGGACTACTCTAAAGGTGGTCGCTTTGGCAGCGAAGCATGCAGCCGACGCAGCCGTCAACCTTCAGGGAGTCCAGAAACTGCTGGACCTGAAACGCTCCTGGGCTAAGAAAAGACTTGGCTCTGCATTCAAAGCAAGATGTTGCTTGACCCTATGCCCTTCAGCACATGTTCGAGGAAGCAACCAGCAAGTCCTGTTCTCAGCTCCAATGAAGAAGGCGGAGGGGAGGGCTCATGAGAAGACACTGTGGAAGGGCAGGTTGCCACTTCGAGTCTTCATGCATTTGCTCAATGATGTGAAGGTTCTGGAGAAGGTGGAGACGCGGATCAAAACAGCGCAGAAGTAGCTTGCCAGATATTTGTTGTGGGGTTGCAGAAAGAGGAGAGGGTCCAGGAGATGGCTCCAAGCCTCCTGCAATCTTCACATTTTGGAGTTCTCAACCTCCAGATGGGGGTAGTTCATCGGAATGCTTCCACGTCTAACCTCGACTTGCTGTAACCACAGTGCCAAAACATGGCCAAATCTCTGTGAGCTTGGGTGCCCAAGGAAGCTCGAGCGTATCAGGATTGCTCAGAAGGAGTTGCGAGAAAGAGAGACCAGCACTGCCTTGGCCGCTTGGTGCAAGATTGCGGCTGACTGAAGACATCGTGTGTAGCCTTAGCCTCAGGTCAGTGACGTGGCCGAGAAAATGGAGACCGTGGCAAAGGTGACCGGGCTGCAAATTCAGGGTGCTCATAGCGTTCGCAAGAGATCTCGTGGTTCGATGAGCGCATGCACGCTGCCCAGGCGATTAAGGAGGCAAAAGGTGTGGTGGACGCAGCGCAGGGCGAAGAGGAGGCCGTCAGCATGCCAAGGGGACTCTCCAGTCGAATTTTCAATTTCCTCAGACTGCAGCAGCGCAAGCTAGCCTGAGAGCTAGTTCTACCTTCAATGAACCAGAGTACCGAGACAGGTTTCTGAACATGTTCATGACGTCATTTGTGTGCATTTAGTGGCTCTTGTGCTTTCAAACCAGGTTCCAATTGCATGGACTCTTCAATCTGTCTCTTGTTCTGGTACCATGCATCTCCTGGAGCATTTCGGTAACGACTACGACTGCTACGGGTGATGCTGCTACTGGTGCTGCTTCCTTTCCTAGCAGAAAAGAGGGGTACCTACCACTAGCGCTCTCGGATCACATAAGACCAGAACGGCCAGGTCTGAGACAAGACGTGCAAAATTCTGATGATCTAGACGCACGCTGTTTTCGGGCTCTCTTACAAGCCGATAGTTCCCATGCTCCTGATCCTAAACCCTCGCATCCAAAATTCTAAGCCTCAAACCCTTCCCCCCTTGGCCCTTATCCCAAGCCCCCCATTCCCCTTCAATGACAGGAGGCCTTAAAGGCTGCGAGCAGAGCAGCGTCACTTGCGAAGGTCGCCATCTCTATGCTGCTTGGATCTCCTTTACGCTTTAGTATCGTGAGGGGGTTTAGGGTATGATGGATTGCCCTTCAGTCTGGCAGATCCTGAGGGAGTTCCAGATGCAAAAAAGGGTTAAAGAAAGGATCTGGGGTTGAGCAAGAATGCTTTAGCTAAATGGCTTTGGGGGTTCAGTTCAGGATTTACAAAGGGTTTAGGATGTGGGGTTCAGGGTTCAGGGTCCGTTTTCTTGGGCCTGAGAAGAAGTAAGGGTTAAGGATTTTGCGATGTCAGCTTTGACCCTAACACATTCCGCTTTGCGTGAGCATCTTCCTGTGCTCCATTGTTGGAGTGCCAGCTGCTGTCCGATCACCGTAGGACTGCCTTTGCAATTAGGCTGTTCTTCTTTCTGGGTCAGGCTCAGTCCTTGGGACGGGCCAACTGTTTCTCAAAAGCGTGGTCCATGCGGTTGTGGAGTATCAATTTGCTAGCGTACATCTGTCTGAGCAAAGGACATTGTACGTCAGTGCTTTGTCCATGGTTGCGCCCAAGGACTTGTTCCCATAATGAAATCAATCCTAGACCTTGTTCAAGATGGCGGTATCTTAAAGCTGTCGGTTTGTCTGCATTCAGCACCAGCCTGCATTGGCTATGCCTTTAACTGCTCATGCCAAACCCCAAATCCTACAACATTTCTTCAAGATTTGAACTTGTTGCCCAAAGCTCCTGCGGGTACATGTGATGGCGGGCTATGCATTTGCTCCCTGCACTGAAGCTGAGGAAGCTGCTGGAGGTAAAGCGCTTCACTGCTGAGGCCGGCTCACCATCTCCAGCACCAAGCTTTTGGGAGTTTCTCCACTAATACTATATTTCCCTTTAAAAGGGGCACCCCCAAAAGGGCCCCCTATCTTTTCCAGATCCCTATCACAAATAGTAGTTTCCATTTTATTTTCCATTATCCTAATACAACCCCTATACATCCCTTTAATAATATACTAGCTTCCATTTTCTTTTCCATTTCCCTAATTTTTCCCAAAATTACATATATATATATACACACACTAAACCCTAAAGCCTAAGCCCTAAGCCCTAAACCCTAAATTATATATGTATATATATATACACCCTATAATTTCTGGGTGTTAGTTGGGTGTCATGGCCGCCAAGGCGGGGATCCAGGCGCAGCGAAGCCTGCAGGAACATCAGCAGTCACTGCAGGGGCCTTTTTTGGGAGGTTATTAGGGTTTAGGGTTTAGGGTTTAGGGCTTAGGGTTTAGGGTTTAGGGGTACCCTTTCAGGGGTTATATAGGGGTAATGGAACAAACAGAACTGGGGTTTAGGGTTTAGGGTTTGGGATTTGAGGTTTAGGGGATTTCCCAATATTCGGGCTGTTTTTGGGGGTCCCCATAGTATTTTGGGTTCCAGATTGGGGTCCCCGTTTTTTGGGGAAACTATCATTTCCCAGCCATTTGCAGGCATGAGGCCCTAAACCTGAATCCTAAACCCCAGAGAACTGAGGCAAGGCTCCTTGGCGGAGATTGATGTTCTGAAGAAAAAGGCGGCAGAGCAGAAAGAGCACCTTGGTTGTTAAAGCAAATCTGGGTTGCTGTCGAGGAACTTACTTTAAGTTACTATTTTGGGGGAACTATAGTAATTACTATACATATATACCCGGCATAGTAAGTTGATTGCTATAATGGGGGAACCTTATTAGATGTTATATATATGTACCCATTATGGGAACGTAGCTTAACTTCCTTAACTGCAACCCAGAAATCCGGTTTGGTAGCATGATTGGCCCATGCCGTATGGTGGCTTTTCGTGTGCCTTGTGAGAGTTGACTACGGCCGGGCAGCCAAGGGTGTCAAAGCGCAGAGAGGCCAGCCGCAAGGTCGAAGAAGCTGAGGCTCTTGCAGAGAAGGCGCGTGTTTGAAAAGAGGCAACCTAGCTGACAGCTTACTAAATTGACCAGCAAGACGAGGCAGAGCAAACATCGGCAGCCATCTTCGATGATGAGAAGCTGGCCTCTATGTCAATGATTGTCTGTGCCTTGGGAAGAGCCAAAGGGCATTGTACACGCAGCTTGAGAGTGGTGACTCAAGGATATCCGCCAAGCCGGAGATTTGAATCAGCGCGCGTACAAGGCCAGCTGTCCTCCCCAGAGCATGCGACCATGCAGCCTACATGCTTTGGCCAGGAGACTATCGACGCTGTCAACCAGGCTCAGCGGATGATCACGATGCTTCAGATAGAGGCCAAGAACAAGGAGCTACAACGTTTGATCCTTTGCACTTGCAGCTTTGATGTCTTGAATACGGCCTGCAAACAGCTTTAGCGAAGAGCCTTTCGGAGGAGAATGCTACTGAACTTGCTGCGGATTATGCAAAGCTGCAGGCCGACTCTCTTGGACCTGTGTGTGTGGGGCGTCGCATAACACGCAAATCGCTGCAGGCACGGCTTCGCCAGGCAGAAGCCAACGTGTCGCACTGCGCATCTCTACCAGAACCCGTGCAGAAGCAGTTGGTCCTGAAAGGGTTCATCGATGAGGCGCCTTTTGGGCCAGGTTGAACCAGATGAATGAAGTTGTTCAGATGCTTGTATAGCCAAATCCTTGAGGTGGAGTCAAAGGTAAAGGCTGCAGAGGGCAAGGTGGACGTGGCGGAGCAAGCGGCCAAGGAGGCAGAAGAGAACCCACTGCCCGAGCAGGCCAGGATTCGGGCTACCTATATTGGGATAATGGAAAAGAAAATGGAAACTACTATAGTATATTAGGGTTATATTGCGGTTAT